TCTATCGCGTAGTACTACGGTGTATTCAATAAGCTATTAAATTTGGAGCTTATTATCGCATCCTAGGATTTAACGTTCAGTTAACAGGCATTTAAAATTTTTTTTTTTTAAGATCGATGGTGAAAAAACATTTTTTCCTGTTAGTGTAATCCCATTATTAAACCAAACTATATATTTCCACATTGAGTTGGATTTGATTTTCAACTGTTAACTTTTCCACGAATCCGAATGTGAGCCCCAAAAATTTCCAAAAAGTGATTTCAGGTTGTTTTAACATTTTTTGAGATACCTGAAATTTTTTGTAAAATTATGTTTTTACAAGCAATAACGAGCTTTAGTGCTATGTTGAGTGGTGAAAATTAGAGGTTTGTTGCTCTAACGATTCTCAAACCATAAACAAAACACTATCCGCGGTTTTGAAAATATCGACAATTTTTAACATGTTCCGAATAAATTAAAAATGTTTGTCAAATAATGTTTTATGTCAAAACGAGCCTACTTTCTAGCTCTATTCACTAGTGCGAGCTAGAGTTTTGTTGCTTCAACAGTTCTCAAAGTGTCAGCAATAAACTAACAGCGATTTTCAAAAAATTTTCAATTTTTATATTCACCTTTCCTGAGAAAGCTAGTAACTTTTATTAAATGATGGTGGAATTTTTTAAAAACGTACATTAATGTTCTGTTCAGTAGTGAAAATTAGAGCCCTGTTGCTCTAACGGTTCCCAAACTATGAGCAAAAAGCTAACCGCGGTTTGACAAAATTGACACAATATCCATTTTTACATTTCGCGAGTAAATTAGAAACTCTTCTAAAATGATSTTTTATATTAAAAAGAGCGTATATAAATGGTCTGTTCAATAGTGGAAAATAGAGGTCTGTTGCTCTAATGGTTCTCAAACTATGAGCAAAAAGCTAACCGCAGTTTGACAAAATTAACACATTATCCATTTTTACATTTCGCGAGTAAATTAGAAACTTTTATAAAATGATGTTTTATATTAAAAAAAGCGTATATAAATGGTCTGTTCAATAGTGGAAAATAGAGGTCTGTTGCGCTAATGGTTCTCAAAATATGAGCAAAAAATTAACCGCGGTTTTGACAAAACTGACAATTTATCCGTTTTTAGATTTCCCGAGTAAACTAGAAATTTTAAAAAAATTATGTTCTATGTAGAAAAGAGTGCATTTTAATGCTCTGTTCAGTAGTGAAAATTCGAGGTCTTTTGCTCTGGTTCTCCAAATGTGTGTACATTGTCCCAGTGAAGTAGAAACTTTTGTCAAATGATGTTTTATGTGAAAAAGAGCCTAATTTATTGCTCTATCCAGTAGTAATAATCGAGAGGTTTGTTGCTCTAACGATTCTTAAAATACGATCAAAAACATTTTAATGCTCTATTCAGTAATAAATACTAGAAATATGTTACTCTAACGGTTCGCAACGTGTGAGCAGAAAACTAACCACGGTTCTGAAGAAATTGACAATTTTTACACTTTTCCATTTTCTGAGAAAACTAGAAACTTTTGTCAAATGATGCTTTAAGTGAAAAAAAGCGCGCTTCAATTCTGTATTCAGTAGTAGGAACTAGAAGTTCTTGCACGTTCTCAACGAGTGAGCAAAAAGCAAACCACGGCAATGAAAAAAATTGTTGAAAAAAGTGTTTTGCGCATTCAGATTTTCTGAGAAAATTAGAAACTTTTGTCAAATTTTTAGGATGAAAAAGAGCGCTCTTTAATATTCTGTTCTTTAATGTTCTGCTGCTCTATCGGTACTCGAAGTGTCAGCAAAAAACTAACCGCGTTTGGAATTTTCTGTGATAATTAGAAGCTTCTGTCAAATGATGTTTTATTTAGAAAACCTGCCCGATTGAAAGTTGATAATTTTCTGAATGGCCCTTTCAATAAACGACAGACGGTGAAAAATAATCCAGACAGATTTCGTCGAGATTGTTATCTAATCGGTACCGGGAAATCGAGCCGATCTTTTGTACCATGATGAGAACCGTCAGGCGGAAGAATGTAGATGCCGGATTTGCTGGTCATTGGCAGTTTTTCGACGAATAATGCCGCATTCCATGGGTGGGCTATTTTCGACGAATTCCAGACGGGAGCCGCAAAATTGAAATCTATTCTGCGAAATATCTTTGGCGCCTTTTGACTGAAAACCCAAAGAACTATTTCCAATGAATGTCGAAAATTAGGTGTCTCCGGATTTCAGACGAGATAACGAATGGTCCGTCTCGACAGGGACTTCAAAGGTTATTCCAAGACCTGCAGCTTTCAGCTGCTTAAAATGCCGACCATTCAAATGGCTCGGGGGCTATCAATCAAACTGGCTTATTGCTACTARATATACAGTTAAGCTTTCGCATCATTTAAGAACAATCATTCACAAAAGCTTTTTGGTCTCTCAACTTGGCGCTTTTCTCTATTGAATGGTTAACAGCGTTTGACTATGTAATTAATCTGCAACTGTAATTATTTCAGTGGCCTTGGAGTTTTCAGAAAACTGCTCATTATGTCATGATAACTAGTGTGTGCAATTACAGCCAATGAAATCATAACGAGAGTTTGAACACCTGCGATCGCATAATGAAAGCCGTCGACCAATCGTTCCTCACTCATGTAGAAAAAAACCGCCGATACTTAGAGTAAAAGTTGGAAACTGCGTATTTTTTTGCCGTTAAGCGCACCTGGCAGTCTACAGAAGTGCCGAACAATGCCAATCACTAATAAATTGTCCAAGAATTGCGCAATACGTGTGGGGGCATGCCAGTCATGGTATCCAATGTCGATACGTAGTATTTTGAGAGGAAATTCCTGAACAACGTAGACATGCCACATCAATTGCTGATCGGACACATTTTCCACATCGTACGATCGAACGCAATTTGCAAACTGCACAGTTTTACTATACAGCATGATTCAAAATTGGCCTTAATCAAACCACACAAGACGACTTATTGAGGAATATTTCTGAAATAGTTGACAAAAGTTTATAATTTTCTCACGAAATGTGAAAATGTAACAATTGACAATCTTTTTAAATCCGCGGTTATATTTTGCACACATATGAGCAAGAAGACAAGAACGATTAGAGCAGAATAGAACATTAAAGTGAGCTCTTTTTCATAAAAAACATTATTTAAAAAAAATTTCTAACTTTTTCAGAGAATGCGAGTGCGTAAAAATTGTATATTTTTTCAAAACCGCTGATAGTTTTTTCCTCACCCTTTCAGAACCGTTCAAGCAATTAACTTCTAGTTGACACTATCGAATAGAGCAGGAAAGTGAGCTCAGGTCTTTCMTATAAAACATCATTCGACGCAAGTTTCTAATTATCTCAGKAAATGTSAAAGTGCAAAAACTTTGAGAACGATTAAAGCAGCAAATCTCTASTTTTTACTRCTGAAWARAAAAACATTAAAWTGCSCTYTTTTCTCATATRAAACATACACACAAAAAAACGYTTGATTTATTTCCTAGAAGTYAACAAGAAAGTGTAGAAAGGAAATTTAACATTGGCAATCAAACAGGTAGAATAKARTTATGTGATTCACCCCGAACCACATTAACATTTCTATTTACCCATWCYATTCATCCCGAATCACATTAGATATACCATTATAGGTCTAAACCRATCTWGCYATTAAGSCACAYATTTGTMARACATTAGCAAAGTTATGTGATTCATCCYGAAYCACATTAGATATACCATTMTAGGTCTWAACCGATCTASCTATTAAGGCACATATTTGTCAAGACATATAGACAACATTATCTAACAATTAAGCTGCTTAAAATAAATAAAAAWGAGTCCAAATTCTGCTATTGTACACTGTATAGGCAAGATCACATTAGTTRTTAGTTAGTTTAAGTATTAAACAATAYTTCTATTCGATATAAAAAGTTTTTAAAAGACTCTTSGAGGAACGYATCATTTAATTATAGTGGCAAAGMMAAGTTWACATGGTGGAAAACTGAAACTAGAAAGTTCKATGGACACACACTGCCTGTGTAAATGTGGACAAATGTACGCTTGAATCTGGTGAATTTTTGGGAAGAAACGCCAGGAAWTTTTTTAAGACTTCAAAGTTCAGTTTCAAAGAAAGCTTATATGTACATAACTTCAGGCTTGTTTGCTAAACGTGCCAATAGGTTTCAAAAATACTGATACTTTTCTAGTTTGAATTCATTCAGCGTCAATGGTTAAGGAGGCTGTCCTGTCGCGCCCTGTCCTACCTAGAAATAATCGTAGACAGAAAACGCAAAAAACTTCGGCATAAGAAAGGCACAAGTGTAGACTTCTGCTGTAGATTTCAATGCCAGAGGAAAGCAAATGCATCTCATAAAACACATCAGATAGATATAATAAGACATTCATTCTCAAAACTCTTCACAATCCATCAGACCAACTAGACAAAAGAACTGGAACTTTCATAACTAGACCATACTAGTCTCTCACCAGAAAACCAGGCAATCACATTTCCTTTCCCTTCGAACTCAAGAACCAAAATCACTCGACTTTTTCAAAAGAAAGTCAAAGATAGCGGGGAAACAGATATCTAGATCCGGTTTCATATAATTCTCCATTCATCGCCATTGAAACAAATAGTGAAAGATATCAACATTCGTTGATGCAACAATAAATTTTCCAATTTTTTCACGGCTTGCGCAGGTCAAGTACTAAACATCCGCTGCTTTATCAATTATTTACTATTTTCTGTTGTTTATTTCGGCTTTTGATCGCTTTATCGCTTTGTAGTTTGACCATCCCAGGCACTTGATGTTCAATTACATTAATTGGGTTTGTATGTTCTAATAGTTGGCTTAACCCAGTTCAAATAGTTATCGACAAATTCCTAATGAAAATAAGCGTTATTTTAACTCATTGATTATTGCCTGGTTAATGTAATTAGACGATAAATCCACACACATTCAATGAAATCATCACTATTACTAGATAGCTGGTTTGGTTAGTTCAATCAGGGCAAACCTTTACCTGTCCTCCAGATTCCTCTTAGTTCTTTAACATATAAAAAAAGTGTGTTATTCGGCAAGGAAAATGAGAGTCGATCAAATATGTTGAGCAAAAAAGTGCAAATTTCCCTAGAGCAGGCAGTTTGTATATAAAAATAATCTTTTTGGACAGCAGCAACGGTTTAAATCTAATTTTATAATGCAATAAATCCTCATGAGTCATGAACAGTATTTTTAAAAGCCGCCGTATTTTTTTTATTTTAAGATTTCCACTGATTTCCACAGGTCATTTCAGCTTACCTATCTCTTGCGCTCACTATATCCTCACTGCTATTGCTGCCTCCGTTCACAGTTTCTTCCATCTGGGGCTGATCGCCCATCATTTGGTCCTTCAAATCCACCACTTCCTCCTCCTCATCATCATCATCATCACTTTTCAGCTGCTTCAATACAGTGTCGTCATCGCTGGCTCTTTTACTCAGCGTTTTACTCAAAATGTCGTCGTAATATGCAGTCAAAAAACTGTCCACAGTTGCAGAAGGTCGTTCGCTTACATTGGGTGCTGCACTTACACATGACATATGAAAAGTATTTGAGCAAGTCAAGGTGAGTACGGCCAAGGAAACGGCCAAAAAAGATGTAGTCCCAATGTTAACCGACATTTTGGTCTTGTTGGCAAAGCAGAAACTGCAATAGATTTAGATTCTGCAAAGAAAATAGAATTGAATTTAAATTTGTGTTTAAATGAAAACCACTTTATTCGGGTGTGAAATTAGAATTAAATTAATTTAAGTGCGGACCTGCAACTGCTGCTGTATTATTATTAGCCAGCTAAATGCTTTGTGAATTCAACAGCACGATCAGTTGCCATTAAAATTCCATGGGTGGAAAGGAGACATAATGAATGAGTTTTTCTCTAATACATGGATTTTTATGGCACGTGTCCGAATTTTAATATTCGGAATAAATGTGGCATTCCATTGAATTCAGGAAGTGCTCTGAATTTTCAAAATAGCAAGAAAGAGTACAGTATTGTACTCAGGGATTTATGGCGTCTAGACCCAAAAACGAGACTGCACAAGAAAATCACTATTATCTTTCATATTTGATAAGATATCTAAAATCTTTTATCTTTTCCAAGTCAACTTGAGGAAGCTCAGTTGATATCCTAAGTCGATTTAAGTTCTTCAGCACAGACATAAACCATGCTTCGATTGAAAACTTGCAAGTTGAAGTGGGACTCAAATAATAATCGGGAAATTTCGAAAGTTTAACAAACATAAATATACAAAAACCCCAAATCATCAATGTTTGCATTTAACATTATTAAGGAAGGTACTTTTGGGCGAAAATTATAAATGCTATTTAAAAAAATCGGTTTATCCTCAATTATTTATGGGATTTTTTAGTGGTGAAGAAAAACCCACCTTGCTTAAAGGAAAGCGAATATTTCTACCAACTTTTATATAGAGTGTGTTTAGCAACTCACTGTATTGCTTGCAGCAATTTGGGATCCACTTTCTTAATCAAACGCGCAAAGTTTTCCTTCCGCAGTGTTAAAGTTTTCATTTGGAAGAACGAAATTGATCAGTATCTCTGAAACCGCCTGGAAGATTCGAATGAAATTTTACATACAATGAGAGTATAAAGCAGAACATGTTCGCTGATAATAATTTGTAGTAAAATCAGATTTAATTCAGCAAAAACGCACTCATTCAATGCATGGTTAATTCAACGAATTTTAGTTCACAGATAAAATAACATAATTCGCAATGAACCATAAAGAAACTACAGCGACTGATGTTTACGCCGGGAGAAATAATTTTATTTTCCACGTAATAAACTAATTTCTGCTAGTTTAAAACGTGCTATGCAATGAATCGGTTTTAATTTTTTTCGGAAAAACCGTGCGAACCGCAAAAAATCAGGACATTTTCTCCTCCAAATTGACTGGGAAATTGGAAAATAATTTTTGTTTCGCGAAAAATCGACCGCATATGATTTTTACTAAAATCATCCAAACGGTTTCCGCAATAAAATTTAAAAAAATTACATTAAAGAATATGGTGTATTAGCAAAAGAAACACGAACTTACTTCAAGAATCGACTAACTAAATGGTTTAAGAAAAATATTCTAAACCAACAAGCATTTTGCGTGTGAGTGAGAAAAATGGGCGTAATTTTTTGGAAAAATTACTGCGATTAGAAGAGAAAATGAAATTATTCAACTACCTCTTCCGAAACTTCCTGAACAAAATGGAAATGCAAGTCTGTTGTAACTTGATTGAAAAAAAAAACTAAAAATGAGCAAATATTCAAAATAAAAAATTACCTTTTTGACCACTTCGTGCTCACTAAACCTGCCAGCGCAATTAAAAAAAAAAACACCGAAATTTTCACTTTGTTGATCGAAAACTGACTTAAACTGAAAAAAGCTTTTTTTTGGAAAAGATCACACCGTTTTCTCAATCCTGATTTCGAACGATCAGCGGCTAGTTCAAAACTAAGCGCCTTGCCGCCTTTTAATAATAGACACTAGATGCATGCGAGTAACAGAGACAAAGTGCTGCGTGCGTCGTCTCTGTCGCTAGTTACGCCAGACAGTTCGGCGACAGTGGCGGAAAAAATCGTCTCCCGAACGTGTGAAAACCGTCTCTCCACATATACAGAGTGAACCATGAAACTACTCGCTCTGGCGCACTGGAAAACAACTAAACTAAGAGCGGTTTTTCGACGTTATCTACTGTCAAGCATTAGGAAAAGTGACAGTTTTTTTTACTGGATAGTGTCACGTTGACGCGTGTCATCATTTATTCGGATAATGGGGTAGAATGCTTTTTATCGCTGTCAAGCATGGAGGGTTGAAGTGGGAAGACATTAACCGGGTTGGGAAGAAATTATTAAAAAATAACGTGTCAAATTGTTGACAAATAAGCTGTTAAAGTTTTAGGATTTACTGGAATTTTTTTTCAAATTAGTGTTAAAACCCTGGAAGGGATCAGACGAGGTAAGCAAACAATTTTTTATATCAATAGCATTCTCGATTAATGAAAAATCCTACGTGCCCTTTCTAACCAGAAATCAAAATTTTAACAATTATCAGTTGTAGTAACTAACTACACCAATCAGTTCCAATACCAATAATTGCTTACCTCTATGAATAGCCGCTTTTCGTCCTTATTGAACACTAGAAAGCACAGTTTCCACAGGAAAAAAGTCACCGATTCCGCTTTCCGTTTACCTTGACAGTTTGCCAGTTTTGGGATAAATAACAAATGTATTGAAATAGATGAAAATATATAGCCAAACACCTGTGCAGGGCCGGAACTACCGAAAATGCCTGTCTTGGTGCAAACCATTCTTCATTGGGTGCTTCCACGCAGCGTATGCGTAGTAGGGTGTGCTGAGTTTCGAGAAGATTTATTGTGGAATTATGGAAAACTCTGAAGATTGTTTCCAGCCTGGATTTGATGGGAGGTGGAAAACGGTGGACTGGTTTCCTTAGCATGAAAGAGGCCTGTTGGGAAACATCCATTGGAAACTGATCATCCAGTCCGTGCCTGAGGGACATTTCCATATATCACTCCAAATTAGTCCAAAAATGTGTTGTGCTCAGTCTTAGTGTTTTAAATTTTAGATTTTGGACCACCGCCTTGACTGGAAAAATACATATATATGAACACGTCTCACCCAGCGAACAATTCATAGAGGTCAAATGTAGCCAAAACAAGCTGCAGTATGTCTGGATATTTTTCTGGAAAATCGAAATATCAACATTTAAGGATGGATCATTGACAACAGTCCCCTTTAATTGGGAGAGCACGAAAATGAACTTGCAAATTGCGAACTAACGATCTTGATATATTTGAAGATTAAGAATCATTGGCTCGGATTTCTATGCGGATTTTGAATAAAAAATTCATAAGTAAGGTCATCAAACCTACGAAAAAAGACAATTTGAAATGCAAATCAATCCAATTAGCATCTGGTATGGTGCATTAGATTTTCGAAACGTCTGCGCTACCGGCGCTCATGGCTTTTAATGCACGAATTTTGCATTTTTTTGGCGGATTCGATTCCCGAAAATCCACAGGCGGATTGGCTGATTGATTAGGTAGAATGACCTAGACTTGGCAGTGGCTTTTTCCAAAATTTCACGAACTATTGATATAATTAATACGGTTGCAGGCAGCTTTTTGCTGAGCATCAAATGCCTAATGAGCTTTGAAACCGATGGATTTTACCGTAAATTGGATTCCAAAAAAAACATCGATGCCCGTTAGTTTCGCTCAGTCTCTGCACCTGAAAAGACATGCAAGACGAGAAAATGGAAAAGAAAAAGTGGTCCGTACGATCATCTCGATGTAATGTCCGTCTGACCAGTGTAGTGGCCTATTCATATTTATAAATTCCAGTGGTCTAGACACCTTATATAATTCACATACATTTAAATATGGCCATCGAGCCAAGTACGAGATAATAAGAACTTTGTGAATCGAGAGTCAGGCGACTGCGACGTTTCAATTAAATGCTCAAAACAGGGATATGGGTGAAGAAAGTTTGTCATTTCTTGCTCGATTTTCTTCTTTAAAATCATTAATTTTCTTCACTTCTAATGCCAAAAGCTAGTCAATTATGCAAAAGAATGCGCGGAATTTTTGGAAAACACACCTTTCAGCTCTGCCGGGAAAAACTGCTACATTTATGTTTCTTTAATGTTAGGTAGGATAAGAAAATTCACTATTCAAACCGCGCGATTGCAAAACACGCATTATGTAAAAGTCCAGACGTTGTAAATCCAAATTAGGCATTGTTTCTTAGTTCATTCACAATTTCCATTGATTCATTCTGCAGGCAAATAGGTCGTTGGCCATTTCGAATGGCATTAATTTCATCGGCTTCTTGTCGAACAAATTTATAGGAACATTATTTACGAATTGATTGATTAATTCGAGCCTTATCAAGTATGTACGCATTTACCTACTATTACGCCAATAAAGCTAAAATCTAATAACCGGATGCAGTAAGCGAGTTGGGAAACAGGCCAAGTTTTTGCTGATTCTCAAAAGTGCTTTCCTGGAAGAACCAGTTTTAACTATCGTCTGCGCTATGAGGTGTTTTATTAGAAAAAATCCAGCGATTGCGAACAAACAATAATTGCTTAATAACTAAACTAATAGACCCGAGCAACAATTCCAGTTACAACTGGTAACTTCCACTATAGGCTAGTCGCTAGGGAACAATTTGATCGATATTGTCACACAACAGCAATGGAAGCATCTTCTGCTCTTGGAAAAACCGATGAGGAATTTTGCAACTTCATGCACAGAGTAACTGAGGTATGAAGCATTTTTCTGCTGAATTTGCCACGACAAGAGCATTTCTGCTTAGGTTGAAAGCATTATTAAAAAACTGGCTTCGAGCGACAGGGAATTGCAAAACATCGGCAATGAAGAAGCCAAAAAGTACCTGGCGGAACAGCCCATCTTGGAAAATATCGATGAAGAGAAGGTTGCGCTGAAGATAACAACGAATCGAACGATTGTAAACCAGAAAGCTTTGCAAAGCGACGGAAAAAGCCCAAACGAGATGTCTCAAGGTACAAAAATGCTTTTCTGAAATGCAGACAATAAACTTTTGCGCTTTAGAGGCTTTTATGGAAGAAGTATCACAGGACGCAGACAAGCGGTATAAAGACAGACTAGTCCGACAAGAGAAAATGGAGACTTTCAAGAAACAAGCCGCCCTGTCCTTTAGAAGAGGCGACTACGAAAGAGCCCTGGTCCTTTACAATAAAGTCAGAGGCGAATAGAGAGTACAGGTTTCCTAGAAGAACTCCTAATGTTTTAGGCAATAGAACAAGTCAAAGACAGCGTCTTGCTTTACAACAATAGAGCTCTTACTAAAATCAAGTTGGGTCTCTTTGAACAGGCAAAAAGTGACCTGAAGAACTGGGCTTTGAGGTTGAACGAGGACTGTCTGAAATCCTGGTTATTGCTGGCCAAGACGAACTTTTTAAGTGGAAATTCTGGCGAATATGAAGAATGCATTTCTCAAGCGAAAAAAAGAAATCCTGGCGATATACAGTTTATTAAAGGTGCAATATTAGGTATACAGATGCGATAAGTTTGGAGATATTAATTGAGGGATTTTCGGGTTTTGCAGATTATGCAAGGAAAATGGAGGATTAATTCGCTCGCCTGTTGCCAGCGAATGTAGCCAGTTTAGGGAAAGATTGCTGAATTAATCACATGAAATATATACAGGGTGTCTGTACAATGTGAATAAAAATCCTGACACATCTATATTTTCATTTTAGTGTTATTTTTCCGAATTTTGGAGTTAGCTACTTTTTTATAAATTTAATATACCCGCAACTCGGTTTGATCTTTTATCTGAAGCACTATAAAAACCGTTTTGGATGTGAAACAACAGAGTGCAACTATATCTAATTCCCTTTATCTATAAGAATCTTGATTTGTGAGTGCATTAAGTTTCAAAATAATTGAATAGATAGAAATAAATCCTTCAAGACCTCGTTTCTTTATAGGAATCGCTTTTGTTCTTAAATAGTAGAAAATCTAGATTAATGCGGTTCTAGCACGCGCGCTAGAGCGTAACTTACTCCACCAATTTGCAGCATTGAGCCAAATGAGGAACGCATTCTCATCCCCGCAGTTGCCATTTGGGCGACATAGCAGTCTGTGGACATAACCTAGACTTTTAGCCGAAGCTTCAAAATGTGTTTAGATTTTAATATTTTCAACTAATTTGAAAAATGTATCTTGTTAAACCGATGGCTAAGTCTCTGTTGCGACAGAGTTATTGTCGGTTTCCAGCTCGAGTTCACTGCGCCAGACATTTTCAAAATCAAGCTACTGAAAGTGCAGAAGAAAACAGCCATTTATTCGACTTACTGAAGAAATATGAATATAGACTGCTCTACAGCAGTATTTTAGAGCAGCATAGAATTCGGTATGGATACCACCAGCAAAGGGCCTTTATAAAGAAGACAGAGATGGCTGACTTCAAACTGAAAACTGCTATAAGATCTTTGCGTCCCTTGCCAGTATCGTTGAAGTACTTCACCGACTATAATTTGGATGATATTGAGAAGTCTGCGGCCGAAGAAGCAGAGAGCGAGATTGTAGAAGAAGCCGACAGCCTTACAAACTTTCCCTACAAAGTAAATGCAACAGTGGAAGATGAAGGGTTTGTCGACGAGCCAAAGAAACCTGATCCCCATTCTATCAAAAAAGAAATAGAGGCCAGGAAGGAAGCATTAGATAACGATAAGGAGAACTGGATGACCCACTACGAGAATTATGAGGACGATTTGGAGGAGCATAATGAGAGACTGCTCTTTGGCGATGGGGACGATTGGAAAGTCAATTATGGGACTCCAGACCCACGTTGTGCAATCAGCAATGTTCCTTGTGGCGGCTGTGGGGCTTATTTACATTGTCAGGTTAGTCTGGGTTAGTTTTCCATCGGAATTTAATTTAGACCGATTTGGGTATCTTAAGAAGCAAAACTTGAAATCGCCTCGTTTTTTTTTACTGTTTGTAGCCTTAAGCGATGAAAAACAATTTATTTCAGGATTCATCAATTCCCGGATATATTCCCTCAGAAATATTCAAGAACAGTTTTAAACGTCATGCAGGTGCCCCTTTATCCTCACTTCTCTGCCAGCGGTGTCATTTTCTGAAGGAATACAATATTGCTCTACAAGTGCGAGTGTCGCCCGATGACTATCCAAAAATCCTGCAAAACATTGCGTTCAATTCGGGCTTGGCATTGCTGATGGTCGATTTAACGGATTTTCCATGCTCAATCTGGCCAGGAATTGCTGACATTCTTGGGCCGAAAGCCTCGATTGTGGTAGTTGGAAACAAAGTGGATTTATTGCCGAAAGACGACTATGACCATTTAAAAAAAATAAAAGAAGCTATGTTTAACAGTGTTAAGTTGCATGGATTTGGCACTGCCAACATCAAAAGCATCGAGTTGATTTCTGCGAAGACTGGATTTGGAGTGGAACGGTTGATAGACTCTCTTCTCCGAGTGTGGAAATGGCGGGGTACAGTTTGTGTTGTTTTCTAAATATTACAGGAAATAACATAATGCTTTCTATCAGGTGACGTGTATATCATCGGCTGCACCAACGTGGGCAAGTCCAGCCTATTCAATCTCCTGCTCCAATCAGATTTTTGCAAAATTCAAGCAGCCGATCTGATTCAGCGATCTACAACCAGCCCCTGGCCAGGTACTACCTTGAACTTGTTAAAGTTTCCCATAACCAGATTTGGGGGTCATCGAATGTTCGCCCGAAGGAAGCGACTAGAAATGCTGCAGAAAATCGAAAAGCAGGAACTGAAATTGAACAGGGAAATGCTGAGTAAAGAGAATGTGCCAAGCTATGCGACCCTGATTGGTCGCGTAGAGAGATCGCAACAGCCTCGTCCGTCCAAAGATGAGATTCCAGACAACTTTTCTGTAGGAGGTGACGAAATGGAGTAGATGTGTTTCCGGCCAAAAGTTGATGATTGTTTTGCTTGAAGGCACTCGCAACGTATCAGGAATTACCTGTATGGGAATCAATGAAGAACTACCGGAATTTGTCCATGGGAAGTGGTGTTACGATACGCCGGGAGTGATGCATCCAGACCAGATATTACATCTGCTGACCACAGAAGAACTGGTGCGCACGTTGCCGAAGGAACTGATTAGACCTGAAACTTTTTGCGTGAAGCCTGGGAGTTCGTTGTTTATTGCTGGGCTGGCTCGGCTGGATTATGTGAATGGACGAAATTCCGTCAGGTATTATGTGGCCGATGAACATATTTTTAGTAACATGATCAATGAATGAAATTACAGATTAACGGTTTTCCGAGCAAACACTCTTCCAATCACAATTTGCAAGACAACTGAAGCCGATCGGTTGTACGAGGAACTGCTGGGAACAGAGCTGCTGGCTGTCCCCATTTTGAAAAGCGACCGAAAGGAAAAGTGGCCTGGTTTGGAACTAGCAAAATCGTTTAAAGTCTTCGGGAAATGTGAGGACTTGTCCAGTTATGACGTGGTTCTTTCCAGCGCAGGTGATTTAACATCGACGATGTTTTAAGCTCATCAGCGGCAATGGAATGTTTTGTAGGTTGGGTCGCCATAAATTGCAACTTTGATAATTATGAATTCAGTGCGTGGACGCCAGAGAAAAGGGGCGTTCATTTACGGGACGCTTTGCTTCCGAAGGCAGTCACAATGAGGGGGCGGAGAGTTAGAGACAGTGTCGCCTACGGACAACATAAGCTGATAATATGATTGAGGCACAGGCATTTCTGTAATTCAATAAAAAGTTATTTAATTTGAATAGTCATAAAGGATTTACCCCAATACCCAACACGCATCCGGTTTTCAAAAAAAAATCAAAACACTAATTATACCGTTATTAATTAGGTTTTATTTGTAATTATGGCCTAAAATTAATAATTTTACTGGTTATTCACCGGCTTGGACCAATCGACTTGAAGAATCAAATGGTCGTAACCATAGCCATTGAGTAGTGTGATTGCATTCGCTGCGTCGGCTTTGAATTTGAAGTGTATGTAAGCAAAGCCCTTGCACAAGCCCGTTTGCTTGTCTTTGGCCAGATACAGCTTGTGAATGGGCCCGAAGGGTTTAACCAGCTCCTCAAGATCAATGTCTGTGGTAGATCCACTGAGATTGGCAATGCGGATCGCGCAATAATTGTCGTCCCGTTTGCCCATGTTGGCTCCGTCTGATCTTTTCGCTCCTCCATCCCGCAGGCTAGGCGGCACATATTTGGAACCACCAGGTTTGCTTGGTTCTGAGCCACCTGCAGCACCTAGTAAACAACACCCCAAGTTTTCTAAACGTGAATCTCGCTACTACTTTAAATAATTGAACATCCACGCATAGGTAAGGTGTTCTCATCTAAAAGAGAGTCGACCACAATATTGAAACCTTAGCCCTATTGCTGTATTTTGATTTAGAACACCCCCTTTACTAGATAAGTTACGCGGAAATAAAAAATGTGTCGCAGTATTATGGTTTGATAAGAAATTCTTCGTTATATGAAGAGACCTTTCTTTATCAATTCATAATAATAATAAACGTAGTAACCCCTAACTATGCTCAGGGATAGATGGGAAAAATGAAAATATTACCAGCTGCCATTGGTGGTTTCTTATCATCAGCCAAAACGGTATCTTTCCATGGGCACTTGGTAGTCCAATGGTCGTTACCACAAGTACGACATTTGACAACATTTTTGTCTCCCAATCCTTTCAGTTTTTCGATGCCCTCATCTTCAGGTTTCATGTCCTCCTCCTTGCTAGAGATGAATTGCATGTAAACGTCTTCCCCTACAATGGTGGTGGCTGGATTGGGGCCAAACTTATCTCCGGCCGACTCGCCAAACTTCTTCCAGGTTTTCCTCAGAGCAATTGACTTGGAGACGATTCGCTTTTCTATCTTGTAAGTTCTGATGATTTTGACCTAAACATTTCAGCCGGTTTACAGGCCTGTAGAGTTTAGCGAGAACATGGGGGGTTTACCTTCTTGTCGTCGTCATTGAACTTGTATTCGGTCACGATTTTCAGTCCATTTTCTACCACCTCAGTAGGCGGGGGCAAAGCGCCCCCTTCTAGCTCAACCTCATCAGCCCAACTTGATTTCACTTCTTCCATTGCTGGTGAGTAGTCTGTGGCTGGCATAGTGATAGTACAATCTAATCTAAGCACGTTTACAGAACCATTAACCTACCAATTATTATGACAGGGACAGGAATCTTGTGAAAACCGTGTTACCAGAAACTTTACCCAATGCAGGGCAACCAACCCGTCTTTGGGCGTGGTTTATAATTTTTTTTAAATAAAATAGGATGGATGCAACAATATATGTTTGATACTTAAACCGGTGAACTTTTCGCGGCTTTTTAAACCGTCGCGGAAAATATTTTTTTCCAGGAGAATTATATTTCACCAGGATCTGAAATAGCAGAAAACTTACCAGTTTCAAGCAATGGCCGCGAAAGACTGGTGAAAATATATAATAATGTACTACTTCAAAATATTTTTTTATAAAATATCTGAAACTTAAAAATATGTTTCGACTGTATTGAATCGATTCATTTAGGAGCCGTTTTTTTCCCAAGTTGTTCACAAACAAAAAGTCGATGATTTCGCACATGCGATTAACGGTTAATGGATATCTAATGAGCATTATTATTTTATGCTTTTTCCCAATGAGGCTTTTCAAGTGCTGTTTACGTGAGTTTGTCGTTCCCAAATCCAAATTTTGTTGTAACTCCTTAGCTATTAGCCGTCTCTTGACTTGAGGAAACCCTGTAATGAATATGGCTAGCAATTAATCAATTACAACACAGTCTTATTCGAGACAAAGTGTATTTCTGGCGAATTAATCAGCTAAATCCAGCTGGTTAAAAAACCGCGCTATTACACAAACGAACAAATTCAATGGATTCGCTAGAGATACCTCATCTTCCTCTTTTAAAGCAGCTCTTAGTTCAATGCATTTCTTTGCAAACTGTCGCAGCTTATAACAGCAATCTGGGGACAGGGGCTTTTCCAGAAGGGCTAATATTGCATAAATCCAGACTCCGACAGTTTCAGATACTATTCTGACATTCTCAAGATATTTGGTGATTTCTGCCAACATTAATATTTTAGCTGCCTGGGAATATTGAGTAATTTCCGAAAAACTGGGCCGCGTCTTTTCAATACTTTTCCAAAATGATTTCTTGCAAATACTTTGGTCAGTCGGATTTGGCTGCTGGGTGTTGCTTAGGAATGTTCTTAGCTGTATGTAATCTTGTAGCGCATTGTCTTGCCAGCTTTTTGAAGGGCAAAACTTTTCTAGGGCTTTCGGTGATTCAGTCTCCTAGAAAACAACGCGGATATTAAGGCGTTAATAATTGCAATAGAATGGCAACGTACAATTGTTACGTGGACAGTCTGGTTTTTCTTATACTTGGTGAAATCTCCTTCAGCCGTTACCCATTTTCTGCACTTGTTTGTTCTCTCATAGATTACATGATGAAGGTATTCTTCACCTACAAACAGTAATGCAGTGTTTGGAATTTCTTACTACTTGCTCGATGAGTTTTTATGTTCTGTTAAACTCACTTAATTGTCTGGAGCATTTTTAAATGGGACTGGTTGTTTATAAAGTGGTTTATAAGCTTTCAAACTTACCTGTTTGTGGAATTGACTCTGGATCGAAATCATCTGGCAAACTAACGTCGAGGGCCTTTCGCATTACCCCACACTCATCGTCACTGCTTTCCGATGTCGCCATTACCTATGCAAATAGTATTTGGCGTCTAAAATAATAATAATAATAATAAAAATACAAAACTTTTTGTTATTTGAGGTTAGTTTTACTCTTAATTGACAGTGTTTGCGCTCCCTTCTCGAAAACTAGATGTAGATTTTCTGGTCTTAACCTCAACTTAGCTGGGCAAAAGTAAATAAGTTTAGATTTATTTTTCGCTTTCCAGCTATGGAAGGAAAAATTCCTCTAATTATTAAATGGAGCGGCAAAGAGTACGAAGTGTATGTGTCGGAAAACGACAGTGTGGCTGACCTGAAGAGGGAAATTCTGTACAAAACCGCTGTCCGTCCAGAGCGACAGAAACTACTCAATCTCAAGCTTAAAGGTAACAGCATGTAAAACTGGAAATGGACATTTAATGTTTTCTAGCATTAACTGGTCACTTTGTGGTCTTGAGGTCCAGGCTGAGTCTCAAATGCATACGGTTGTCAGCACCTCTGGGTCAAGGGCGGATCCGTGAATGGGGGGATCATGACCCCCATGACCCCCCCATTCAATTCTCTATCCAACGATGCCAAAACGAATTCGGTGGCTCGAATGGTTCTTGAGAAACTTCGAAAAACATGTGCATAATCTTGCACCTAAGTGTCTGATATTCAAATTTCGCTTTCTGGGTCAAAACTACTCGAACTTCCTCACTAACGTTGTTACGACTGAATCGACTTTTCAATTCTCTATCCAACGATGCCAAAACGATTTCTGTG